GGGCGCCGGTCGCTTGGCTGCCGGGGCGCCGGGAGCGGCGCGGGTGTCCCTGGGCCGTCAGGGCACCCGCTCGGAAACTTGGGAACTCGAGCTGCAGGGGTGCGGGGCACAACCGCACATCCCCGGCCCTCCTCTGGTGCCCGCACCGCCGGCGGCTCGTCCTCCCGCCCTGCTCACCGGTCACTGCTTCTCAGGCACCTGAGAGATACTTCAGGGTGTATTCCCGTGTGTACCTTTGCTAGGCGCTGTGCCAGCTGCTTGAATAACGCCCTGCTCTTTTTGGATTAGTGGTAATGAAAACTGGGTAGCGACTGACTTTGAATGCACTCCTGTTAAACTAAGTATTAACTTCAAAAACTCTAAGATGGGCATAAAGCCATTGCAGCTCAGTGTATGAATGTCTGCTGTCTGTGAGCTGCGTGACAAGTGTAGTGTTAAAATGCTTGGTACTGTACTTCAGACGGATGATGTCTGTTTACTTGTTTTTTTTTGCTTTGTAATAGCACACTTGTATTTTAGATAGAGCTTTTTTTTTTGGTCCACTTTTAGTTCATCTTGAATGACGAGGGAAAAGTGAAAATGATTCTGTGCAAAATGGTATCAAATGCTCACAGTAAACAAATCGGAAGAAAGATCTGTCATTTTCTAAGCAGTGAAGTTTTGTACGTTTCTTGTAACCAGCTGCAGAAACACCCAGTGTTTATTTTAAAATAACAGTGTATCTTTTAAAATAACAGTGTATCTTTTAGTCTGAATGCTGGCAGCCTCTTATGGTTAGTTTCCATTGCAACTTCTGTTCTAGATGTCCACAATTGTCAAGAATAAATGAAATTATAGATATATATAAAAAAATCTCTGAAGATTTAAGAAAAAGGATGTAGAACACTGGGAGTTGCTATAAAAGAATTCTGTTCATCTTATGGAAGGGGAAGAAGAATCTAGCATTTATATGCATAGATTTTTAAATTATTTTTCTTAGCAGAGTTGAAGTTTGAGGATGCCCAGCTTCTCACTGAGGAGCCAGCCTGTTGGTTTTTTTTCCTGCCCCTCAGGGTCTGGAAAAAAAATAATTTAAAACAAATATGGCCCTGAACACTTGCTGTGGCATCTAAGGTTCTGGTACTTCATGGAGTTCAGGGTAGGCAAATACCTGCTGTGCAAGGATCCCTTCTAACATCTGTGTGCTATTTTACATAGATGAATATGACCCACGTAGAGCTTCTTGCAGGACCCATGCCGTGTCTTCGGCAGACCTTAAAAGACGACTTTAAATTGATAGTATCAGGTGGTATGTCCCTTTCTGGTTTGATTGTCATTCTAATTGTTAGCAGCAATGTGGGAGATCCTTTTAACTAGAGTAAGAGATAATTTTTCCTGAGCTTACTTCCTGCATGGAAGCACTATGATGGAGCACTTCATTTAATTATCCTACTGCAAAGAGTTGTCAAGGGTTGACGTGGTATTGTTCCTGGGACAATTTACTTGAAAAACCTTGTAAGCATTGATCGAAACTTTTGAGCACAAGTTCCCCAAAGTCGTATCCCTCTTCTGAAGCTACATGATCTCAGTGCTTGTTTTAAAACCAGAAAAAAAAAAAAAAAAAAAAAAAGAGGTGGCATGGTGGAAAATGTCAGCATATGAAAAAAACCTTAGTTTGTCATCTTCCAGCTGATAAAACCATGCCATGTAATTTGTAAGGCCTTATTGAATGGGATGGATGACCCAGCATAGATACCAGTGGAACACTGTGCCACAAATAACAAAGATTTGTGCTGTTGCCACCTTCAGGGCATAAGCCAAACCCTTTTTGTGTGTTTTCCTATCTGATGAATGAGCCTATTTTGTTCCTCTGTGAAAAGAGCTTTCCTGACCAGTTTTTTGCACAAGAGTAGAGGGCCATCCTTTCTGACCAGAGTTCCCTGCCCTCCATGAACGTGTGGTTGCTCTAGTGGTAGGGGTTTCTTCTGTGTAAATGGGTTCAGGAAGCCCAGTGAAAAACCCAAAAGAAAAACTGAGTCCTGGAAGAACCACTCTCTTAGCCAGACTACCTAACCGACTGCCTGTCTGCCCAGTGGGGATATGCACGCACATATATGCTCTAATTTCCATAAGATTAGGAAAAAAATATAATTATATATATAAAAATGCATTTTTCTGTATCACTATATATTTCTATTTTTTCTCATTTTAAATTTTTTTCAATCCCTCCTGGTTATTCAGTTAACATGGCATAATTTTGCAATTAGCCATGTGCTTTGTTGCAACTTTAACTCTTGCATTTCCTGGCATATTTTAACCTTATGTTTATGTTGCTTGTTTTAGGTTTTGTATTTTACACATACAGTTTTCGTGTCTCATCAACAGAGTCCTTCCTGAGAGAAGGATTTGGGTTTAAATGGCTTGAAATGCAAATTTGAGTAGACTCAGTGTACACATCAAATTCCTCTCATTTAATGATCATTGACCTTGTTCCAGTGTGACTATCAATGTATCATTCATCTGAGAGAGCAGAAAGGACCTTCTCTTCTGGAGTGTTGAGTAAAGGCTTGCTTGTTTGCTGCTGCAGTTTTGCTCATGACAACTTACTGTCACTTGTGGAGTCAGGATATTACTTTGGTCCTAAGTGGCCTGCTAATATTTTCTTTCTAATATAATAACTGGTTGAGTGCTTGTGAAAAATTGAGTGTATACATACATTTTGTGCATGTTGGCTTCCAAAAGCAAAGTGTATTAAGAGAATTCATCATTTTTATAGGAGTGTAAAAAGTATTTTACTTCAATCTCGCTGAAAAAAAAGTATATAAATATATGTAAATAAATGTAAGCTTTTAATATAGCAGAACTCTTGGAGCTGCAGGCATCTGTTCTTGCTGATCTCATTGCAGCAGTGTGTCTGAAATCTGTTCTGGTGAGGCTGGATTTAACTGCTTTGCCACAGCCCAGTTGTGGGGGAATATTGCAGAATTACATTGTTCCAAGGAAATGATTGCAAGGTACAATTTGGTTTCCTCTGTACAGGCAGCCAGACAGGTGTGTGTGTGTGTGTTGTGGAGAAAGGAGAAGACATATGTGAGTGATACCAATGACTCTGTGGAGGGAGCAGCTAATATTTTTGTTTGAGTTTGCTGATGCTGTAGGGATACTCTGTTGACAGAACTGTGAAAAATTCCCCATTTTCACATTTTCAGAACTTACCCGTTGGTTCCCAGTGGCCTGTAATCATGGAAGCCAAATTTGTGTGACATTGTATCTTACTCTTACTTACTGGTTTGCTTTTATTTGAAGAATTAATAGCATGCTTTCTGTAACTTAACAGAAATCCCATTCTTTTTATTAGTGACTTTAATTATTAGATATTTCTCTAGGTATGTTTCTATGTATTCTCAATTGACGTTGATATAACATATACATATAATTATATATTTGAGTGTAGTTCACTTTTTTCTCTATGTCTGTATTTTTTAGGAGCCTTGAAACCAGAAATTACCATAACTTACATTGCTGTTTCAGCTATATTCTTTAACAGTGGACTCTCCCTAAAAACCGAGGTACTGTAATTTCTCATTGCTTCATTGTTGTTTTGCTTTGAAAAATCTTGTGTTGCTTTTGATCAGGTTTAAATATAATTGGAGTATTTAATTACTATGCTGTTGTTGATGCTGGGAAAATAGCTAACAAGAGAAGATAAATATTAGACACTTATGGAATAACCACTCCTTGGTTTCAGAAGATTCTTCACAAAGTGAACATGATGAGAAGGAGAGTGTGAATGCGTTTCACCCATCCATAGAGGGTGGCTTACTTGACTTTGCAGGGCTTTGACTAAGTGGAAGTGCTGGGCACGATTTTGAAACTGGAGCTACACATTGGATGTGTCTCAAAACCAAACTGGGGTGAGACCCAGGACACTAGCACCTGTGTTCTGCCACCCCTGCTACACCTTGGCTTCCCCAGTGCTTAGCTGAGATACGGGACAACAAACTGTGTTAATCCTTTCTGTAGGGAACTAGGCAGAGAGGGGCTATACCTCTGTAGGACACGAGCTCCCTGTGCCTTTCTCCTTCATCTTACCTGCTAGTGTGCTCTCTAAGTAAAACCGGTCAGGTTAGTCACTACAGGACTGATGCAAGCTTTAATATTGATGGTGGTTTTAAGTTACCATGTTGGGTAGGTGCAGGACAGCAGATAGTATCAACACAAAAGGGTTCCTTTGGAGGACAATTTACAGGTATAAAGTCTTGACAGTCTTTTCCTGTAGGATTTAGTTCTGAACAGGTGGACTTGAAGTGCCTCTGCTCTGCTGCATGTGACAGACGTTCTGACTTGTTTCAAATTTTGTCACATGTTTTTCAAAGAGGAACGGTATGGGAGTAAGAAGAGGTGAAGGGGAGAACCTCTTAGTGATGTGTTAAGGAGACACGGAGAAAGGAAATGATGGCTACATGCCAAGAGGAGAAGGAGCAGCCAGAGTTCAAATGAAACACTGCATGTCTCTGCTAGTATAGTATCTTGATTTTTTTTTTTTTTTTAATGCTGTGGCCTGTGCTAACAGGTGGTGTCATTCACATGTTGCATTATGCTAGTGTATAAAAGAATCATCATTCGCTATTGACTGGTAATCTTCTGGGCAAATTGGGATTTTGGTGAACAGTGTGTATTCAACAAAAACAAGTTCCTGTACCTGTATCATGGTTAGTGATAAATTTTCAAAGGGAGGTGGCGTTTGAATTGCTGGCAGCCCTCTCCTCCTGTGTCTGATTCTCACTGCTAATGTGCATCTAACTTTTTCCAGTTAAAGTGACATGACTGACAGGGTCCTGGACAACGTGTCATGTTCTGCTTTGAACTTGCATAACTCTTTTTCATCTGTGGTTCTAAAAGCAATATATTTATGTAAATGAAGCTTTGCAGAAACTGATGTTTCTGTTCAGGTAGCCAATCTCAGATTGTTTTGGAAGCATCAGTTAGGGCTGGTGCTGTACATCCAGCTTTATATTCCATCAAGAAGCTAAGCCTTTTCTGAATAACTGCCATGGGGATAGAAGATAAAGAGGAAGAAAACAATTTCACTCATTGTACTTTCTGCTATTACTTTCTAAAAAGCATAAAACCAATCCTTAGATGTGTTAGGAGGTAAAGTCATAATTTTATTAAAATATTCTGGGGTGTGTTTTAATTGTTAAAGGCACAACCTAAACCTGATTAATAGTTGATATATCTTTATTTGGTTGCAAAGCAAATAGTTTCTGCATTTGTATTTATTAGTTCTTGACCTTTGTGTGGGCTGTTCTGCCTTGGATAATGTATTAGATCCTAACTAATATGTGTTTTATGAAAAAAAACGTTGTGTGTTAACAGAGACCTTCTGATAAATCTGACAAAACTATAAGTATCTGATGATCTTTTAAGGTTAGACTTGCTGTGAAAGCACCTGCTCAAAAAAAATTGCTAACATGCATTCAGAAAGCAGTTCACAAAATAATAAGCAGCGTTCAGGGAGAACCTGTCTGTGCATGGCAATGTTATGTTTTAAAATATAGAGATCATTGAGGTTCTATTATGTTTGTAGAGATAGTCTGCATCCAGAAATGACAAGAACATTTGATTCCACCTTAATGTAATGCTCTTTCAGTTTTTGGTGACTGGTTTGCTTGCTCTTTTAAAGCAAATACCTCCTGCAGGGCCCCAGAAATTAAATCACGTACTTGAGTTATCAATTTCAATGAGGAATTTGTAAGGCACTGAAAACACTCTTTGCTCTGTGTGGGTATTTGCCCAGAAGAATCCATTTATGACCATCTAAGCATGGCTGGGTGCCAACAGAGATCCACACTGACCAGCAAGAGGCTAGGATAAACTCTCTAAAGGATCTAGAATACTGGGAAAGACAAGATAACCTGTTCTACCTGGTGTACAGGAACAGAGTAATAACTGGCAGCTTCCAGTAACTTTTCTGAGACTTCTACTTATTTGACGGCTGCAATGACGGGTGTATTTTGGGACAAGCCCTTGTAGATTGCTTAAGAGAGTGAAGGCTGTTTGCCTCAGTGTTTGTTCTAGGATTAATCAGTCTAAGGAATAACTGTTCTGAAAGACTATCACTAGAAACATTTTAAAAAGTGGTAATTTAGATCTGCAAAGACCTTTTCCACTAATATAGCATTCCATCATGCACTAAGTTTTCTCTGTTGTAATCACCTGCCTTGATCCCAGGAAGCTTTAACCAGCCTTTTCCAAGTTTTTGTCTTGATTTTTGCTTTTGAAAGAATCACAGTGTTTTCTTCAAATAATCTGGATTTAAGGCATTTTCCAATTGTAAAAATATTTAATTAAAAGGACACTTGTATATGTGTGATAGTGCCAAAATTGGGAGTGCCTTCACAAGTTGGTCCACTAGGAAATCTGGAGGTGACTTGGCAGGAAAGGAGGAGGAATTAGCAGCTTTGCTGAAATAAGTAACTTCCTTTGTTTTTTCTCTATTTATTTGCTCTTTAAAATATAACTTTTTTTTAATATAGATATTTCCAGGTAGCTTTTCTTCCTGCACAGAATGTGTTTCTAAGAGTAGAGATTTTATTTTTGCTTTCTTTTTGACATAAGATTAACTAATACTACAGTGATGCTATTCATAATGCTGTAGGTACTGTGGCAGGTTCTGTGTGAAGAAGGCCTCTCTTTTTCATGCAGAGTGATAGCTTAAGAGCTTGTTTATTTAAAATAAATGTTTCATTCAGTTAACCAAGTACTGAATGTAATGATGGTTTCTTGGCAAAACTGGATCATGATCTAAGTTTCAAGTCTATGTTTTGCATAACTTTAAGAAGAGATTATGAACCCATGTATATTTTTTTTGTGGAAGGCTTTTTTTCCCCTAACCCAAATTTCAGAGATAATTTTATTACAAGAAATAAAGCAACAAGGACATGGTGCTGAATTGCTAGTACTTCTGAATGTATAATGACACCAGTGTGCATCTGAATGGTCGAAAATGCAATATTTGATTGTGTTTCATAAAGATTCAAGTGTTTTGAAGCCAAGAGAGGCATTTGAAGATAGTCTTCTATATTACTGTACATAGAAATACACTTTTTGGTATTTTGGTATTGCTTTCTTTTTTTTTTTTTAGTGCATCCAGGATGTCAGATAACTGGAGAGTCTTAGCAAGTTAGCTTTGAAGAAAAAGTGCTATCAGTTCTTTTCCAGTTGCATTGTTTACCTGAGAAGAGTGCAAGTAATTTTGAGAGAGAGCAAAGGGAATTTTTCTTTTCATTCTATGAGGGTTGAAATGAGCTGAAAAGTACAAGGCTTTTTCCTTGTGCTCAAAAACTGCATAGAGGATCCTTGCAGTGCCCAAAAAGAAAAACAGACTTGGAGCTAACTGAAGAATTTATTGCATAAGGATACTCGATCGCGTCTCTCTGCAGTGCTCTTACACTATTGACAATTCTTTTTTTTTTTTCTTTTTTTTTCAGTCTGCAGCTGTGTTTTGCACACTCAGTATTTTATGGCTTAGCTGCTCTTAACTTGTTATGGTCTTGATATTCTTTCTTTGCTACTTTTCATAATCTTTTTTTTTTTCCTATGAATTTACTATTTGTCGATACATTTAAAAAAATCTGCTACAATTTACTTTGCTTTTTATATTTGTTAATGTTTCCTTAAACCCCACCACAAGTGATGACTGTTCATAATGTAAGCATCCTTTTTTCATGGTATAAATGAGAATCAAGAGTTTGTGGCACTCTAGAGAAACCTGAAATCATGTGGACACTACAGGTTGCCCTTGTTCAGCAGTCAATAAAGTAAACAGGCCATCAGCATGGTTAGCACAGGTTTTGAAGCAGTGACAAAGTGCTAAGGCTGCCTGCTGAAAAGCTGCTGTTACAAGAGCGACACTATTATTGAAGTGGTGGACAGTTCTTTTGGAAAAATGCCCAGGAGCAGATAGAGCTTTTATGTTGTCTGGATGTACTTCATTATTAAAGAGGAGATCAGATGATCCCTAAAGGTGCCTTTTTGACATGCACTCTCTTTGTATTATAGAGATGATCCTAGTTTTAAAAGCACAAACGTTATCTTACTTCAGCTGTTATGACTGCAACTTCGTCTCTTCTTTTTCTTTTGCAGGAGCTGACAAGTGCTTTGATGCATGTGAAACTACACCTTTTTGTCCAGATTTTTACACTTGTGTTCTTCCCAACAGCAATATGGCTCTTTCTTCAGCTATTATCAATCACACCTATAAATGAATGGCTTTTAAAAGGGTATGTTTTAGCATAATGGAGTGAAATATATTTGTAGCTGTCTTCTTAAAGGGCTTCTTAGCCTGCAGTGAGTGTTTTAAGAGTTGTATTGTGAACAGATTTTGCTGGTTGTTTTTGTGCTTCAGCTTTCTCTTTCACAAAGCACAGCTAAAGTGCTATGCTGGGTCTCAAGGTGGATAGGAAAGGAATGCTAAATAAAACCCTTAAGTTGGTTATTAAATTCTGTGTGTGCCACATACTGATGTTCCTTTCTGTTTTTAAAGAGTCTGTATTGAGCATCACTCATGTGTCCAGATTGGGGTTTGGTATCTGCTTCTAGCTAAATTATGGGGGAAAATAAAGAAGAGAGTGAAGTTTTCATAGGAGGAGAACTTTGAGATAACCAGAAGCTAAATTACCATGAAAGCAGTGTGTTTTAAGTCTTTGGTGTACTCTGGCAGTGTGTGATTCCAAAGCTGCATTGATGGTAGTGATAGATGTTATGAAAAAAAAAAAAAAAAAAAAAAAAAAAAAAAAAAAAAAAAAAAAAGCTTTTTAAGTAGCAAAGGTCAATACCTAGCACCATGTAGCTATACTGGAATGTTTGAATGCAAAAATCAATTATTTCACAAAACTACTGAAAGAATCCCCACTGTTTCTTACTGCTTGGTGAAACATTGCTTGGGGAGAGTTTACTGTGTTAAAAGTTTAATGATAAAGCTGCTCATATTTGTTTTTACCAGTCCTAAAACAGCATTTTGTTTTGTTTTTAAGAGGCTCCTTCAGGTGTTCCCCCAAGTGTAAAGTGATCCAAATGACACTGGAAAAGTGAAATCGAGATATCTTTTAAGAGTTAGCACTGTTTTGTTTAACAGTATTAATACATCAAGGAAATAACAAGGTTGCTATGCAATGTCCATTTGCATTTGGCTGTTCATAGTAAAGGTTATTCTTTAAAGTAACATAATTGGGAAGTTTTTCCTTAGCTAGAGCAGAGATGTGGTTTTCCACAGTGAGCCAAAATTCCCTCCTTATCCACAGGAGTCTCTGTTTCTGACAAGCAAGGTGCAACCAATTTTTGTGGTTTTTGTTCCTCATTTTTCATGAAGGTGTGTCTGTATTTTACCAGTGAGCTTTTCTACTTCCACATGTTTCAAGCTGCCTTGCAAGTGCTTGTTCCTTGAGTACTGTTTCTGTTTTGAGTAGTTTTTATCTTTTAGTGTAGTAATTCTATTGTACTGAGTCTTCCATCAAAGAATGGTAAGATTAAGATGTTAAATGATGGGTTTGTTCTTTTTTTTGTTTGTTTTTTAATAGGCATGCTTTCTTGATAAATACTCCTGTTCAGGACATACTCCGAACAGCAGCACTTTTTTGGTTCTGAAGGCACTCACTTCAAAGGGACCCTGATGGGATCTGTGCTTTCGCTGTTATGCAGGGGCAGAAGATACTGAGCTCTGTCCTAATTCTAGGACAGTACAATTTAAAGCAAGCACTTGCATGACCCTATATGGGTACTTGAAAGGAGGATGAGGAGTGGATGTGAGGGACTATCTGTGCCGTGGCTGCTCTGTGTAACTAGAAGTTCATCCTAATTCCCCACAGCTGTAGCTTTTATTCCCTAGAAACACTAGGGTACTCTAAACAGGAGGGGAACAAGACAGGCTTTGGCAAAGTTACTTCCTCATTGTGTGTGTTGAGCATAGTTTTTAGCAGGAGCTTGTTAGTCCTCACAAAGGCCTGGAAAAATAGCATATGCTTCCAAGGACATGCAACAGCCTTTGGCAAGGTGGCTCCTTTTTGGCTATAGTTCTCTTGAAGGTTGTGCCTGAAGAGCACAGTCAGGCCCACAGCTAATTTCACACCTAGATTCAGAATGAGTGGTAGATGCTCCCATCCTCTATAATGGTCTGTTTTGCGGTAAGTGTATTTGGGAGACAGATTCAGATCTTACCACCTTTTCATCTGTGTTTTACAGCTAGGTGCTTTTTTTCCTGTCTGGGATGTTATTAGGAGGTTTGTTGTTTTGCAATCTTTTAGAAATATATAAAACAGAGCAGAAACTGACATCATCCTAAGCATCTTTAAAGTTACGTTGTGGTTAGATGGCTGAGTTTTGCACTGACAAGATCTCTTTGAAAAGGAGTATGAAGCAACATAATAATGTTTGCACAGATTCACCTCTTCTGTCCCTCTTAGCATATAGCATTTACAGCACAGATGGTAAGGCATGAGGTGAAAAGGTCTAGTATAAGATAGTTCTGTATCTAAAATACGTGACTCTGGACCCTACTACTCAATTATCTGTAGTGTATTAGTAGAACAGGTATAATTTATCACCCTTCAGCAGGTGCTTGGACCCTTGATATTAATGTTTCTAGCATGGCATGAACCAGTGGAATGCTTCAGTTGGTTATCTGTAGTGATCTGTTTGCCATTAGAATTGGTTTGTGTATCAGTAGTGTTACAAGTAGTTGATACAAAGCAAGCAGAAAAAAGTTGATGAGTACATGTTTCAATATACTTGATTAAAAGCCTTTCCATTTAGTGAGTACGAGGCCTTTTTGTAGAGTAATATTTTCATATGAAGACTATTTAAAACCATACCTTGATAGTGATTTTTATTTTTTCATGTCCAAACATACTTGAAATTTGAGAGGTCTCCCAGATGCTGTGTTACTATATTTTTTTCTTATAGTGTGGAAAGTCCCTGCCAGCTGAGATGAATGCTCTTGCACACGTTTCATACCTCTCTGGATTACTGTCAACTTAATCCACCCCTTTATTAGTGCAGGTGACAAGTTCAAGGAGCTGACTGCCAAGAGACCACATAGAAGAGAGATAACAGTAGCACAACCAATGTAGAGGATGGACATTAGAATTGCCATGTGTTTGTCTGCTGTAGATTTTTGTGGGTATTTCAAAACTTTTCACACCATTTCTTTTTCCTGTATTTCTTTTCTTTTCAATATGAGCTTATCCTAAGTGCTGACAATTCTGCTTCCATAGCTTACTTCACTACAAGCTAAAGGTACAATGTACTTCCAAGGTGGTGCTTGGCATTTTGTGATTGGATTTATATAATGTTTACATTGGCTGTCTCTTTCATTTTCCACAGTGTCTGTAGCTGACAGAATACCATCATTGTCATTTATCTGTTTCTTCTATTTAAGCTTTTCGTATATTTGCAGCTTATCAGTTGCACTATAATAATACTCCCTCTTATTTGGATTTAATACTTCTGTTTGCTGTAGCTTTTTGACACTGTGTTTCCTGGGCACGGACTAACACAGTTACAAGTGTAACGTAGTTCGCTGCTAGTAATTGATCTGGTCTAGAATACTGTGTCAAATTCCAATACTTGAAAACATGTAGGTTCCATTCTTTTGGGGGTTTCACAGACTATTTCATGCCTTACGGTTCTTTCTAAGTCAACACATATTTTTTTTTCAGAAGTCCCAGATTTAAATGTAATCTATTGTGGTATGTTCTTGTAGTTTACACATTTAATGCAAATAATTTTTCTAATAACCACGGTTTTTTGGCCTGTCTTTGAAAACAAAACAAAGCACACAATTTTTTCTTACTTTGCAGCAACATTTACTATGTATGTTGATAATTTTGCTGCACAAACAATGGAAAAAATGACATAATTAAGTATTTTAGACTTCTAAAATGCAGGAGAAAACTTTGTATGTGTAGATTAATGGAAGTCAGGTGATTTTACAATAGAGTGAAAACATGCATTAAGATTAAACATTTAATGGCCTTTTAATGTTCAGGAAATAAAAAGCTTAATTGTGATAATTTTTCTGGTAGGGTTTGATGAAAAATGAAGTATATTTGGAACCTGAAATAGTGAGCGTGTTTCTTCTTACTCTTCTGCTTAGCAGTAAATGTTTTTTATCACTGAGCAGCTTTTTCAAGAAATAGGGTTTTGCATCCTTATTTCCTTTTTTTTTTTTTTTTTCCCCCAAATAGCTACAGATATTTCAATCCACACTGCAAACTCTATTTCAACATGTATATGCAGTTACCTTTGTGATAGATGTGTAGATACTTTTGTGAGTGGTAGATAGAGTACTTTAGATGGGGAAATGGAATCACAGAGAGGTTAGGTCTTTGGGTTTTTAAAAGGTGACAGGACTCTTCACTGTGGTGGTTGGTAAGAGAAGGCATAGAAATCCTGCCAGCTGGTGCAGGGCTGTGGCTGTAACTGTAGCAGAAACTGATTGGGTTGCACAGGGGATGATTGTTTTTACTCAGCTGTGTGATATTTTAAGGTTTTAGGTTACATAGTGCATCATATGAGGAATGTAACATTTCTTCTTGTTATTTTCAGCTTGCAGACAGTAGGCTGCATGCCACCACCAGTGTCATCTGCGGTGATTTTAACCAAAGCTGTTGGTGGAAATGAGGTGAGCTTTCATTTTGTTCTTGAATGCTTTTTTAAACGAAAGTTCAAACAAATATTTAGTTGTGGTGAGCTTGTGGAGCAAAACACTGACTGCAATGGGATGTTGTTGTAGTTTGTAAAAACATTTAGAATTGACTTGGCTATCATGTTGGTGTTGAACAAGGGAAACAATGTTACATGCTGGTATTGTTCAAACTGAAAGAAGCTCAGTTTTCTGAGGTGATAGAAAAGTTTCTGATAGAAATTGGTGTTAGGAGATTTGTTTGTTGCTGCAATGTAATTCCTAACCATATAAAATCCATATGCCGTGTACTAGTTATTTCACAGACCATTAGCTTTGCGGTGAAGAACTGCCCTTGCAGTGATTGTTTGGATGTTGTTTAGTATTAAGAAGCCTTATGGTAAGAGTTCCTTGAGCTTTAAGCTGCAAATGTAGCAAGTGATTATGGAGACAGAAAAAATAATTTAAATTAATTACATTGTTATTTGTTACTGCATGAAATGCAAGTTCTGTGAACATGGAATTATCTGACAGTGATGCAATGCCAAGCTCTCAACAGATAAGGAAATGCCAGAATTGAAGTTGTTTGTTCAAAATCAGTTTGGTCATTTGTGCCTTAAATGGCATATGCTGATGTAATTTTGGACTATTTATCCACAAAACACATCCTATTTTCAGGAGGACTAGTTAGAAGATTAATCCAGGTGTGCTAATTAATGAGGTTGTTTCCTTTACACCTTCTTCCTCGTAACTGCTGAAGGTGGATGAGACCTAATAGGTGAGGAAGGGAGAAAATAACACTGAAAGCAATTAAAGCTGAGGCTGGTGGGATGCTGTTCTAGAGGGTTAGAGCCAAATCTTAATTCAGCCACAGAGCTCCCGCATGAGGTTGGGTGAGTCACTTCAACTACATTTTTTAAATACGGCCATTAGTTGTCTAGTTCTCATTTTCTGAGTTCAGACTCTTGGGACTGATTAATGTCAGCTTTGAAAACACATGATAGCACTGAAATAGATTGAAGTCATAGTTTGTACTGACAAAGTGCTGTTTAATTGCTATATCCTCTGAAGAGAGACCCAAAGCATCTCAAATCAAGTACCTGTAATTACGGGCAATCCTGATGCACATCACTGTCTCAAGTTTGCTACCTGAAAACAAGAATTATAAAAATTGTCTGATGGAGATGCTGTGGAGTACTTATATCAGGAAATAATTCAGGTACATAGAAGTGATGAAGAAATAAATTAGAAGTTTTCTAGTTACAGGTAGTTGCTGACAATGGAGATGGAGTGAATCAAGAACTGGGTCTTGGGAACAGAGAGTTCTCAGTCAGGCTCTAGGAAATTATACAAAAGAGAAATACCCTTTAAACACGCTCAGTGTAGACAAAATGTGTGGTGTATTTATTGCCAAACTTGAACAAGTTTCCAGTGCAAATGTATTTTTGGAACTTGATGCTTCTCTGTCGTTAAGACAGTTGTTATTTTTCCTTCTGATGAACAGCAAATCACATCCCTCCTGCTAGGAGAGAAGACCCTCTCTCATCTCTCCTTGCCAAATTTCACCCAAGCTGTTATTGATGCATTTCTCTTTCTGACATTAGTGGAACCAGGCTTTTTTTTCCCATTACAATTTAAATCCATTCTTTTATACAAAGAATTTAAACCTGGGAGTCAGCTGGAAATATGAGTGATTGTACTTGAGAACATTTGTTCATAATAATGTCTCTTAAACTGCTTCTACCTCGTCAAGCTTGTATCCCTTACCTAGAGAAACTGACTAGTCTTAGGCTGTATCTACAGTGCATAATGTAATATGAAGATAAATGAACTTGCTCAGAAGCAATGTAGTGAAGAAGCTCCACGTGTGCTAATTAGTTTGAGAACTGTCCTGCTGCTGCAGACTGCAAGCATACACTCCATAAGTGCTCTGAAGACCTCTGGATTTCTTGAAACAGCATATAAGAGCTGTGGTAGTTAGGTGTGTTATGACACTATAAAGGGGTTTAGGTTTTTTTTATCTTAGTAAAAGAGACTCTTGAATCTCAGTTTGGACTTGGGTTATCCTCAAAGTGTCAGGTACTATGGCATGGTAGAAATAGTACTCACCTGGGGGTGAGGAAACATGGTTTCTATTTTTAGCTCTGTCATTAACCTGTTGGGTAGAGAAGTGAGGTGTTGTGTGTCTGAGGTTAGCAGAAATGGATAATGGCAATTAAGTGTTTGAAGATCAGTGCTGAAAGGTCTTACGTAAAAGTTGCATTTTATTGTTTGGGCAGGGTATTAAATATTACTGCTTGGTTAAGTGCTTAGAAAGATAGTCTACATCATTAGAAGCTGCTTGGGTGGGGGATTTTGCTGCTTATCAATTGGAAAATGTGGTTATGAGATTATAAAAGGAAGACATTTTTGTTAATCTTACAAAGACTTGGCTTTTTTAATTGAAATGTTCCTGAGAGCACAAAATATTGTTCAGCTTTTGTCAGCTAAGGAAGGTGTGGCCAACAAAGCTGATACTAAGAATTCTGATTAAACTGTATTGATTGTTGAAAAAGTTAATGTTCTTGCAAGTACAAACCCAGAAAAGCTGAAAATCTGTATAATTTAACTATCAGTATTTAATAGCAACTATACAACTTAACCAGTGTTTGTTTTCCTGATGGTTCAAACACATGGTATATAAAAAAAGTTGTATCTAAGCTTTAAATCCTCTTGGTCTGTGTATAGGAATTCAGCAGCTGAACAGTTACTCAAGCATGCAAATATAAAATTGTCCAAACTGAAAATGAACATTCTTCCTAGACATCATTTGATCATCAACCCTGTGATCTATACTGCTTTCAAATATCTAGTCTTAGCAGCTGTTGGACTCCTATGAGAAAAGGCTGAGAAATGTGGGGCTCTTCAGCCTGGAGAAGAGAAGGCTGAGGGGAGACCTTATTAGTGCCTGTAAGTATCTAAAGGGTGGGTGCAAGAAGGATGGAGCCAGACTCTTTTCAGTGGTTCCTAGTGACAGGATGAGGGGCAACAGGCACAAGCTGGAACATAGGAAGTTCTATTTAAATATGAGAAAAAACTGCTGGGAGGGTGAAAAAGCACTGGAACAGGCTGCTCAGGAGAGTTGTGGAGTCCCCTTCACTGGAGGTATTCAGAATTTGCCTGGATGCTGTTCTGTGTGATGGGGATCCTGCTTTAGTGGGGGAGTTGGACTAGATGATCCCTAGAGGTCCCTTCCAACTTTGATGATTCTGTGATTCTTCCAAACTCTACCACTTTAACCATTTGTATTACTTTGCAGCATGCCTAGCAGCTGAGAATGTGGGGGTTGTCTTTGATGGTTGGGGCATTCCAAAGGAAAAAATTCTATCAAAAGCCCTTTGTCAGCAGTAACTTTCCATTAATAAGGAAAGACAATCAAGTCAGTTATCACCTTTGCTTGCTCTAGCTGTGGCGTTATGGTAGGGAGGAGGATGAGATTTGGAAACCAAAAGGCTCCTGAGTCTTTTGGTGTTTAAGGGTGAAAATTATCATTTTCACTTAGCTCTTAGTGGTTTGGTGGCTTGTTTTAAGGGACTGAAAAGAACTTTCTTCATAAGTCATAGGGATTATAGGAGGGAAAAGATCCCTGTAGCTTTTTAAGAAAGAAATAGAGAGCAAAAAGAACCTGTAGCAGATTTTTTTTGTGTATCGGTGTCTTTTGTTATAGTTGATGGAGGAGAAATCCAGTGTTGGTATTAGCAGAGTGGAAGAATAATATATTCTAGCTGCAAAGAAGATAATGGAGTTGACTAGTTCACTCAATACTGCTTGTTACACAAGACTTAAGACAGACTTTTCAAATCTCATTTCCTTGCATATTGCCATGATGGCAGTGGCAGCAGCAGAGGTGTTCAGCTGTTTAAGACAGTGTTTCTGTATAACTTCATAGACACTTGTGTACTAGTAGTAATATAAGTAGTGTGTTTTGAAAATGTCTGATATGCAGCATGGTAAGATAATTACCTGTGGTTTTTGGAAGAAGATATGGAAGAGATTAAAATTTCTGTCCAAAGATCTGCCTATATTCAGACTAGCCAGGAGCAAGTATCATTCTATCCAGAGTGGTGTTAGCAAATGAGAGATATAAACAGTGGAGAGGGAAGCTGTCTGTGCTGTCTGAATATCTTGGCCTTTGGAGGAGAGGAAGATGGTTTATGGCTATTCTGTCTTTGGTTTTGATGGAAGTAGCTGTTCTTGATGTCATGAACAGAAATGCAACTTTCCTAGTAGAGCTACAAACTCACACCTATTGACTCTGTGACCTTTTCTTAGGTTTCTTCAGCTCCTCTCTCTGGTCTCTATATCATGTTTATTCTCTCAGCTCTCTTTCAGAGAGAAAACCAGGCTATTCCCAGCTTTTGCCACAAAAAAACCCATTTAGCTCATTAGCAAAGCCAGTTTCAAGTCCTGAATATAGTTTGGTGCGTATTAAGCCCTATATGAACAAAAAACAATGTTCATATGTATGCTGACAAAAAATAAGGAGGGATTACTGTGAGAAATAAAAATCTAATTTTTTATTTAGTGATATTTTCTCAATTATGTAGTTGTTTCTGACATCAGTAATGCTTACAAAATCTCTTGATTTGTGGAGAGGACAGTCTATGCAGTTTAAAAAAAAAAAAAAAGAGAATGAAAACCGGAAGGCCTCACTGTTGTTCTTTGCTCTTGTTGAGCTAGGGAGGGTCAGGATTTTAGTGACATTATAGCGTTTGACAGCACAGAAGGCCTTTTGTGTTGTTTTTCCAAAATGTATTTTAGTTTCTCAATGAAATGATAACGCAAATTTCTTAAAAATTTGCTTCTAACTATCCATTTCTGTAAGAGAGAGACAAATATGTCAGCATTTCAAGGTGCTGTGAACACAAACCTATTAAAAGCTGAGAGATCCTCAGACAGAAATGCTGTAGAGATGCCAGATATTACTACAAAGTATTTAGACAGCAAATGTCATATTCTCC